AGATTTGAGCAACAACTATAATCTAAACCCATAGTTTGAAGTTAGTTTACTAAAGCATACCATGTTTTAATTATTATTATTATTATCTTGAGCTAAGAATCTTGGTTTATTATTGGTTTATATTTTGCCATACCCGAGGCCCTTTCATCATGTCATGGTGAAATCAAGGCAAGACAAAGACAAGTTTCAGAAATCTTGTTTCCCTTCATGTAGTCTTGTAACTTTCCCTAGCAACTTTTTCATCATCCATCTTGTCTGCTGAATACCAGACAGATGGAAGAATCTGAAGTTTGTGTGCAGAATCATCTATTAGCCCCATAAACCTAAAAATCCCCATTGGATTAAAAAAAATGTAGCTATATCAGAAAAAAAAAGCCATAGGTACAGTCTTATAAATGCACGCTCATAATAAACCACTTTGGAATTATAAAATTACAGTAAAAATGAAAAGCATACATTATATAAAAATAGGTTTATAAAACATTAACAAAAATCCTCATAAATCACTGATAAATGCTTAATTTAGTACTTCTATCAATATAAATGGAAAAAGTATTATTGCCGTTAGGACATGGGAGATATCATATCTCTAAGATTAAAAAATATTTTTAAAAAGTAGCCAGGAATTAAGTAAACAAGTTACAATTATTCTCTTTATGTGCAATACTGGGTATGGATTATTAGAAAAATTAAAGCAAATCTTTTTAGTATTATGTGAATATAGATAATATGTACTATATACTATTATCTAAGTTCATTTTCCTTTGCTTTTTAGGAAATGTTTGCAAAATTTAGCATTAAAAAATCTTTAGATATTTCTTATAATATTTATTTGCTCCTTTAAAATAGCATGTTAAAATTCAAAAGGAGAAATTAAGTTGATAAATCAGACCAGAGACAATGATACATCATTGTAATCATCATCAACAACAACTTAGTGCAGGAAACATTTGATTATACCATTGTTCAGTGTATTATTTTCTTTAATGACCAATTATCTACTTTATGAAAGAAATACTGCAGACTCTTGCAGTTCTTCTAATCCATATAAAACCTCTTTTCCTCAGAAAAAAATATATTTTTGCCCATCTACCCTTTAAAAACAATAAGTTTTACCAATCCAGCTTTCCCAAAATCATCATATCTGAAATTTCTGTTTTAATTCTGATGAATCTCATTCTGTTTTTTTTTGTTTTCATGTTTTAGTTACTTTAGCTTTGTACTCTCCAGATGCTGATCACAATTTGTAAGAACCTTACATCGATACACATGTCGTTTATCCTAATATACAGACATGGGAATCAGGCAGAGATGTGGTCTTTGCACCTGCAAATTATTATAAACAATCTAACAAGGCTTTTACTCAAAAAAGAGTAATTGTCTTTACAGAAATGAATGGCAATTAGTTTTCATCAATTTGGCCTCCTGGGGAAAAAAAAGAGACACATCTCGGTAACCAAATCTTGTAATACTGCTATTTGGGCACCTCTTAGGACTATTTATCTAGGTTGCTTTTACCTCACCAAAAGGTTTCTCCATTTTTCTGGAGCTTGCTGTAGTCATATTCTTTACATTTTCCTCCAGAAACAAGGAGGATTTCAACAGAGCAGATGCCTCCTGGATGTTTTTTCTCTTACTGTACAATTTCATGACAAGACCAATCTTAGAGATGAGAAAACCACAAGAGTTCTGGATAGTCAGTTCTCTGCAGTCTACTTTGATCAAACGGATCAAGTGGGAAATTAGATTCCTGATACGCTCATTGAGGATCAGGTGTGCCAAGAGTATTTGCACCTCAGTTTCAAAGACATCCCCCTGAAGCAAAGAGTTATCGGTGGTTGAGAAAAAATCAGATAACAGGGGAGCAGAGGTGGTTTCTTCCTGATACTCCCAATACACTTCATTAGATAATGTTTTCTGTGGCAATCGTTCATTCAAAGTTTTAGCCTCATCAGTAGGCCTTCTGGCGTTGCTTCCTCCAATTATCAAGTGTTTAAGAAAATTTTCTCTTCTTGAATCCTGAGATTCAAATCCCTTCTCCAAAATATTATCTATAATTTGTTCACTCTGAGTATTTTGCTCTTTTATCTGCTCACTGATTACACTGTGATTTCCATGGCTGGGCCTTGCTGATGTGTTGCCAGATTTCAGAATAAAGATGACTTTACTAGCCTCTTCCTCACCACCACCATCCACTACAGTAGAATAAGTCAATGGAGGCAGCTCTGTTGGAAGATGTAAAATTGAGCGCTTCCGTAATGAGTGTACTGATGCTTGAGGATGCCTGTTAAGGGAAGAAACCTGCTGAGGCTCTTCTTGCACTTCAGAATCCTCTGTTTTTTCAACCATGAAATGTGAAGTAAATTTTCCCTGTTCTGTTGCAAGTCTTAGAGTGCTTTTTGCAAACCCTCGTCTTTTTCTTAGGAACCTAGAAAATAATTCTTCTTCCCGCACATTTTTCCCAAGCTCATGATCTTCCTGTCTTGTTTTCTGATGGTTCCTTAATCTTTCGAGAGGGTTGTAATTATCTGTAATTTTTGCTTTGGGAGGCACCTGTGACTGCTTGTTATCCTTCATAGGACCTTGTTGCCCTACAGGCTTCCACCATTGTTGAACTATTGGATATGGAACCGATTTTATTTTCTCCCCTGTAAGTTTTCCAAAGTTTGCTGCAAATTCTTGCCTCTTTATTAGAAATTTCACAAATAAATCTTCTTCCCTTGGATTTCTTCCAATCTCTTGATCATCTTGTGTGATTTCCTGATGGCTCCTCAATCTTTCCAGAGGGCTTTCATTCCATAGGCTGATGGCACCAGAAGCTTCCAAAAATTCTGTAGCAACTTTCTTTTCCATATCATACCTTTTCTCTACATTATCTGTTGTTTTTGCTTTTGGAGACACCTGTGGCTGCCCGTTCACCTTAATAGGCCCTTTTGGTCCTACAGGCTTCCACCATTGTTCAGCCATTCTACATGGAACCACTTTTACTTGCTCTTCTGCAAATTTTCCAACATTCTCTGCAAATTGTCGCCTCTTTGTTAGAAACCTAAGAAATAAATCCTGTTCCTTTGGATTTCTCAGAAACTCAAAACCGTCCTTTATTGTTTCCCGATTCTTCCTTAATATTTCCAGAGGGTTTTTAGTCCTTGGGTTGATCTCTCCAGAGACTTCTAAAATTTCTGTAGCCACGTTTTTTGGATATCATCCTTTTTCTCTACATTATCTGTTATTTTTGCTTTAAGAGACACCTGTGACTGCCTGTTATCCTTCATAGGCCCTTGTTGCCCTATGGGCCTCCACCATTTTTCAACCATTCTATATGGAACCAGTTTTACTTGCTCTCCTGTAGGTTTTCTAATGTTTCCTGCAAATTGTTGCTTCTTTGTTAGGAACCTAAGAAATAAATCTTCCTCCCTTGGATTTTTCCCAAGACCATGACCTTCTTGTTTTATTTCCTGATGGCTCCTTAATCTTTCCAGAGGGCTTCCATTTCTCAAACTGACGGCACTGGAAGCTTCCAAAAATTCTGTAGCCACTTTTTTTGGGATATTATACTTTTTCTCTACATTATTTGTTATTTTTGTTTTGGAAGACACCTGTGGCTGCCAGTTTTCCTTCATAGGCCCTTTTTTCCCTACAGGCTTCCACAATTGTTCAACCATTGCATATGGAACTGATTTTACTTGCCCTCCTGCAGGTATTCCAAAGTTTTCTGCAAATTGTCGTTTTTTTGTTAGGAACTTAAAAAATATATCCTCTTCCCTTGGATTTCTCACAACATCAAAATCGTCATTTCTTGTTTCCTGATTCAACCTTAATATTTCCACAAGACTTTTATTCCTCATGCTGATGTCTCCATAGACCTCTAAAATTTCTATAACCACTCTCTTTTGGTTATCATACTTTTTCTCTACATTGGCTATTATTTTTGCTTTGGGAGACATCTTTGGCTGCCTGTTATCCTTCATAGGCCCTTGTTGCCCTACAGGCTTCCACAATTGTTCAACCATTGCATATGGAATCGGTTTTACTTGCTCTCCTGCAAGTTTTCCAACGTTTTCTGCAAATTTTCGCCTCTTTGTTATAAATTTAAGAAATAAATCTTCTTCCCTTGGATTTTTCCCTAGATCATGACCTTCTTGTTTTATTTCCTGTTGGATCCTTAATCTTTTCATTGTATCAGAAGTAGGCTTTACTTGCTCTCCTGCAAGTTTTCCAATGGTTTCTGATAATCTTCGGCTGTTTGTTAGAAACCTAACTGCTAAGTCTTTTTTTCTTGGATATTTTTCAAGATCTCTCTGTATCATATTCTCATAGCTCTTTAACCCTTTTAGAAGGCTTTTAGTCCCCAGTCTGATCTCACCAGAAGTTTTTGTAATTGTACGTAATGCCTTTTGGATGTCCAGTTCTTAAGACTCCTCTGTATTTTCAGTTATTTTTGCTTTGGGTGCCACTTGTAGGTCATTGTGTGATTTGTACAGTCTTTTCAGCAGATTTTCAGGAGACTCCTTTTCATCCAAATATTTATGAGGATTTGGGTTATTTAATCTACTCACTGATTTTAATATAGATGGACTGTCAATTTCAATGGAATTACCAAGCTTCTCCTGAATATGCAGATTGTCGAAAGTTGGAGATTTGGTATTCCTTCTACAATTTATGTTTGAGGCTGGGCATATAAGTATGAATCCATCCAGCCTTTTAATAAAACACACCAGAAGGATCCCAACAAAAAAAAGTTGGGTAGCAGATGTGGCAACACATCCCATGCTGCACATCCTCTCTTTGTCGTCTGACTCCAGTGAAGGATGCCTTGCAATATGGCAGCCTACAATGGAGGTAACCCTGTGCGGTTACCAAACAACCACATGTCATTCCATATGGAGGCTGCAGGAGAAGGCCACTGCAAGTTGAGAGTTCTGTCTGCTTGTGACATCATTTTACCATGATTTCTGACATTATAGAATTGCCAGAACTATGGCAACCATATAGGTAGTGGCCTCTTTTACAGATAATCATTTGAGTTCATGAGATCACTCAGATATTTGTGATTAATTTTTGGGTCAGAGTTGTTGAGTCCGTCGTGAAATGGTAAGACATGAGAAGCAGTTGTAGTTCTCAGGAAACCTTTATTCTTCAGTTCAGCTTACATTGGAATATGGCGGCAAACGCCCAAACTCGCGGCCTCCTTTTATAGGACTTTCCCAGGTCAATGTGTTACTTTTCGCGCGCCAGTACTTGCGCATGTGCACAAGCACTGGCGACAGCCTGTCTGGTCCCGGGCAGCTTGCACCTGCCCGGGACCGCCTGCAATGCCCCGAGCCTGCTTGCAAGGCTCAGGACATAACACCCCTTTCCCCCGGGCTAAAATGCCATAATAATAAACAACCCATTTTCTTAATGCAGTGCTCTACTCCCTCATTGTTCCTACTCTTCTACTGACTCTGTTTAGCCAGTAGTGTTATGTAGTACTTAGAAGATTTCCTTGCTCTCTGTGACCTCCTAAGCTCTGGGTGTCTGGCAGGTGCCCCCTGACTGAGGGGTGGCGTGTGCCTGTTTCCCTTATCATGCCTTGGTGCCTCCCAAGGACTGGGCCCCAGTGCCTGGCCTACTTGCTTGTCCACCGGGCTCATCAAGCCAGGGCTTCTTCCAGTGTATGACCTGGTTGTCCCACCTAGCTGTAGGCTCTCTGGCCCTTCTAAGTGACTGTCACTGTTGGGCGTTTCTGTAGAACCTCCTAGGTCCGTCCAAGACCTGTCAGGAGGCTGTCTATCCCCTGAATCCCGTTCTGTATCCGGGCTTGTGTGGGTTTCAGTACTGTCCCAAAACTCAGTTGTCCCCTGAGTGTAGTCAGAGGTGTTGTAGTCGGGATTTGGTTCCTCGACCACCTCCCTGTGTGTTTGCCCCCTTCTAGGGACAGGGTTGAAGTCAGGCCAACTAGGAGGAGTGTGTGCCAGCTCTCTTGCAGGGAATGGATTGTTGGGATGCTCCCGGGTATTCTCTCTGACTGGAGTACTGAGTGATGCGGGTGAGAAATGATCATGCCCCCGGGGTGACTCCCTGGCTGGAGTAGGCATTGATGCCTGGGTTCTAGTTGGGCTCCATGACTTCCTGTTGGGAGCAATTGCGGAATCTCGGGATGGGCTGATTGTGGCTTCCCCATTGATGATGGGCATCATTCCATGCCCCTCCCTTTGCCCAAAGGGCTCCCCCTCCCCCCCCTGGAAAAGACCCAGGAGTCTCAGTGGGAAGGTCCCGTCTAGGGCGAAGTTGGTCAATGTGCCGACGCAGGACACGACCGTTGTCCAGGGATACCTCGTAGGATAGAGGACCTGTGACCCTGGATATAGATGCGGGGACCCATGTATGACCAGGCCCGTAATTACGAGTCCAAACCGGGGCACCCACAAGTAGTTGCCTAGGTGCCCTGGGGTGTGAGACAGAAGGAGGCAGTCTGTCCGGATGCAACCGGTCAAGCTTGGTAGTCAGTTTGCGCCCCCAACGAAGTTCAGCTGGGCTTCTCCCTGTAGAAGTGGATGGTGTGGTGCGATAAGAAAGGAGGAAGTCAGCCAACCTGTGATGCCAGTCCCCGTAGGTGAGCTCTTCAAGGCGTCCTTGGTGATGCGAACCATGCGTTCAGCCATACCGTTGGTGGACGGGTGGAAAGGTGCAGAAGTGGCATGACGAATCATGTTAGCCTGCAAGAAAGCTTGGAATTCAGAGGAAGTGAATTGAGGGCCGTTGTCAGACACAATGACGTCTGGGAGCCCGTGTGCAGCAAAAATCCCCCTCAGTACCTGAATAGTCTTTGCAGTGGTGGTGGAAGAGACAGGTACAACCTCAAGCCATTTTGAATGGCTGTCAATGAGGACCAAGAAGAATTGACCCTGAAAGGGCCCAGCATAGTCAATGTGCACCCTAGACCATGGAGACTGTGTTTCCTCCCATCTATGCACAGGAGCTTGGGGCATTTCAGGGCGTGAGCGTTGACAAAGGTGGCAAGCATGCACCTTAGCTTCTATGTCTTTGTCTACACCAGGCCACCACAAGTGGCTGCGTGCAAGAGCCTTCATTCGAACAATGCCAGGATGACCCTCGTGGAGGGAATCTAAGACCCTAGTCCTCATTGAGGTGGGGATGACAACTCTGCTTCCCCAAAGCAGACAACCCTGAGAGGTGGACAACTCATTCCTTTTAGACCAGAAACTCTGAAACTCAGGACTAGGACAGTGCTCAGGCCATCCAGACAAAACCCAAGAAAGGACACGTGAAAGTGTGTGATCTGTGCCTGATTCAGTGGCTACATCCCTGGCATTCAGAGGGGACTCGGGCAAGGCTTGAATGGAGAGAATATTGATGGCTGGCGTGGGGTCAGCCTCTATTACCGGCAGGGGTAATCTACTGAGGCCATCAGCATGGCCCATTTCCTTCCCAGGCTTGTGAAGTAGGGAAAAATCATATGCAGACAAAAAGATAGACCACCTGAGCATCCTGGGGGAGATGATTTGGGGAGTTTGTTTACGTGTGGTAAACAGTCCCAGCAAAGGCTTATGGTCAGTGAAGACCGTAAAATGCCTACCATATAAAAAATCATGGAATTTTTTAATTCCTGCAACAACAGCTAAGGCCTCCCTGTCTATTTGAGCTTAGTTGGCTCAGCTGAAGACAATGTTCTGGAGTAATATGCAACAGGAACCTGAGTTCCATCAGACCTGAGGTGGCTCAGAACAGCACCTACCCCATAAGGGGAAGCATCACAAGCGATGCACACAGGAAGGGACTCATTGAAGTGAGCAAGTACACTGTTAGAAGTGAGCAAGACCTTGACCTCATTGAAACTTGCCTCATGTGTCTGTGACCACTGCCACGCTGCCTGTTTATCTAATAGCCTGTGAAGAGGCTCAGCTACACTAGCCTTGTGTGGAAGAAAGGAATTGTAGAAATTCAGAAGGCCCAGAAAAGCCTGTAGTTCGGCCTTAGACTTTGGCGTAGGGGCTTGCATAATGGCTTTTAGTTTGGATTCAGCAGGATGAATCCCAGCAGCATCAATTTTGAACCCCAGAAAATCTGTAGAAGGCACCCCAATTTTACACTTGTCCTTCTTGAGTTTGAGTCCCGTTTTCCTGAACCTTAATAGGATAGCCCTTAGCCTTTCAGCTAGAATGTGTGTGGAGTCTCCTGCAATTAAGACATCATCAAAATAGGGGCAAACCCCTGGTATACCCCGTAGTGTGTTTTCCATTACGCTTTGGAAAATCCCAGGAGCGGCATTTACTCCAAATTGAAGTCTCTTTACCTTGAAAGCCCCTCTGTGGGTCACAATAGTCTGAGCTATGGCAGCGTTATCATCAACAGGCAGCTGTTGATATGCTTGAGCTAGATCAAGCTTTGCAAAAACGCACCCCCGCTTGAGGGAGGCCAGGATATGACTGACCACAGGAACAGGGTAGGCATGTTGCTGCAATGCCTTATTTAGAGTGCATTTGTAATCAGCACAGATGCGAATGTCCCCATTTGCCTTAAGAGGCGTGACAATGGGGGTCTCCCATGGACTGGAGTCAACTGGTTCTAGATTCCTTGTTGGATCAGTTTATCCAATTCAGTGTCAATTTTACTCTTTAAAGCAAAAGGGACCCTTCTTGCTTTAATTCTAATGGGAGTGACAGTGGGGTCTAGCTTTAAGGACACAGGAGGTCCTTTGAACGTGCCCAGCTGGGGGCTGAAAACATCTGCAAATTCTTTGCAGACTTCCTGTAGGTCGAGTGTTTGTAGGCTGTTGAGCCCTGTGACGTGTATTCCCAAGGCCTCAAACCAATCGAGTCCTATGAGACTCGTTCGTTCACCCCCTACTACTAATATGTCTAGTGGACCTTCAAAATCCTTATACTGTACGTTAAGGGTGGCCTCCCCCTTATCACACACTCTGGAGTTTGAAAGTCTGTTAACACAATATCAGAAGGCCTCAGCTTGGCCTGAGTTCCACTACCGGAACAAATCTTCCTAAATGTGTGCATAGAAATGATCAAAAGTGCAGACCCCATGTCCAGTTCCATAGTTAATGGAACCCCTTGTAGCTTCACCTTAAGTGACAGCTTTTTCTTAATGGGCTTGTGTGTGCCTGTCCTGTAGATGCTTCTTCGCGAAGCGCAAAACCCCACTCTATTCTGGCTGGGGACCCTGGTACCTTTCAGGCTCAATTCTTCCTGAGGTTGTACTTTCTGGCGGCCCAGGCACACAGCTGCAATGTGTCCTTGTTTTCCGCACGCCCGGCAGATAGCGGAGCGGAACTTGCAGTCGGCTCTCTTGTGGCGACCTCCACAACCGATGCACTTGGGGAGAGGTGAAGAGCTTCCTCTTGGTTTTCCTTCCTTTGTGGGGTGGAGACGGTCCACTTCCTCATCCGGATCCTCCTCGGAGTTCCTTTGGACTTCTTCCTGGTGCACGGATGCAGCATCTGGGCTGTTCCTGATTGGCCACAAGTTCTTGAATGCGCCGCCCGCTGCTTCTTCTGCGGTGACCTCTCTCAAGGCATCTTGGAAGGACAAGTCCTCCTTGGCGAAAAGTCTCTGTTGCAACTCTCGATGCCTTAGCCCGCATACGAACCAGTCCCTCAATCGTTCTTCGAGGTCCTTGAACTCGCAATGTTTGGCGGCTTTCCTCAGTGCGGCGATGTACTCCTTGGCCGATTCTCCGGGTCGTTGATCCCTCTGCTCGAAGGCCACGCGATGACGGACATCTTAGGTTGGAAGTGCTCCTTCAATAACTTCTTTAGATCTGCGTAGCTGACAGACTCTAAAGGAACAGGTGCTGCGAGGTTCTCTGTGATTTCGAATGCGTCTTGACTGCAAACGCACAGCAGGGTGGAAGCCTTCAAGCTCTCTTCCCTCACCTGGTTCACTTTGAGGTAGTTTTCCACCCTGGCTGCGTAGGACTCCCACCTCTCTGGATGTGAGACGTCGAATTCCGAAAGCCTTCCAATCTTCACCATTTTGTATCAGGGAGGGTCTATCAGCCAGCCTACCCCTGAATGCACGCTGGATTGGCGGGTAGCTGTTCCTGCCGCTCCGGACTCACTCGGGTAAGCTTACACCTTCTCTTTTCCGATGTAAGGCATCCCACCTTCGTCACCAGTGTTGAGTCCATCGCGAAATGGTAAGACACGAGAAGCAGTTGTAGTTCTCAGGAAACCTTTGTTCTTCAGTTCAGCTTACATTGGAATATGGCGGCAAACACCCAAATTCTCGGCCTCCTTTTATAGGACTTTCCCGGGTCAATGTGTTACTTTTCGCGCGCCAGTACTTACGCATGCGCACAAGCACTGGCAACAGCTTGTCTGGTCCCGGGCAGCTTGCACCTGCCCGGGACCGCCTGCAATGCCCCGAGCCTGCTTGCAAGGCTCAGGACATAACAAGAGTCACAGTAGGTAACACCATCTATTTCAACTGGAACATCAGATTGTAAGGCCTGGCTACCATTCTCCAGCTACTAAAACAAATTACTGCAAATTATTTATAGCTAGAAAAAAGGGGGATAAGCAGTTGAGGAAGGAGAATAAGAGGACTTTAACTTATATACCGTCCCATAATGCTTCACAGCACTCTCTGGGAGGGTTTACAATGTCAGAATATTGCCTCGAATAATCTGGGTCCCCATTTTTCCAACCTCAAATGGATGGAAGGCTGTGGCAACCTTGAGCCCTTCATGATTGAATTCCAACTGTGGGCAGAGTTAGTCTGTGATAGTGCACATAAGATAATCATCCGCAACAGAAAGAGCAGATAATTCTAAACAGAAGTTTCTGTGCAACATCCAGCTGTCTTCCTTTACCCAACATTTATTTATTTTATTTGTATCACATTGCAAGCAATCCAAATCCTGGGATTTATATGAGTACCATATGTGGGACAATTTACAACAGTCATGATAAATCTAAAAACATAAAATCAACCTTGGGAATATTAAAAATGACAACTCAGGGGAAAAAAAGAACCAGTAACAACACAAATGACCCCAAATAAATTAAAATGCTTTCCAGAAAAACTTGATCTTTAATATGTGTCTGAGTATAATCCAGGACATCCGCCTGATTCCCACAGGAAGACTTTTCTGAAGAACCAGTTAAACTGAAAAGCAGTCCCTCCTGGCTTCACATTTATCACACCTGGGGGTGGCAAACACTAGGGATATTTGTGGGAAGAAGGGAGCAAATGATAATATGTGCTTTTAAGTGCCCTGGCAAACACAGCACCCTTTTTTCAAATGTCCTAACAAATTGAAGCGATCAAGAGATAATCTTTTATGTATAACCCAGTCATTGTTCATTCTTTCTTGTTTGCACTCTATAGTTTGCTCAGAGATAACTTAAAATTATGCTGACCAAAAAGCTAAGCTGTAACTTTAAATGTGTTTTCCGTTTTGCTCTCAATGTATTATTCTCCTGCTTTAGCTTGTAAATGTATTTGTTCAAGGAGAAAAAGGCCCAAGGCTGCCTGCCAGCAATTGTGCATTCAGAGCAATGTGCTGTAACAAACTGTGCTCAACCTGATAGATAAGGAAAACAAAAAAGAAATCTTAAGGTTAAAAAGATACCTAAACAATTTATACACGCAGACCAAAATGGTTTCCTACCACGAAGGCAAATTCGAAACAATATGCGGATAATTTTGAATATTTTGGAGTACTACGAGATTCATAGTGAAAAACAAGTAGATGCACAAAAAGGCTTCAACAACGTAAATTGGAACTTCATGTTGAGGCAGTTAGGCTATATGGATTTTGGCAGAAATTTTATAAACATATTCAGAGCTATATATGATAAATAAGAGGCGAGAGTTATAATCAATGGAGAAGCGACACAAAGCTTCCAAATTAGGAAACCTACAAGACAAGGATGTCCGCTCTCGCCATTAATGTTTATATTAACTCTCGAAGTACTGACTAGAATGATGCGAAAGGAAAGTCAAATTAGAGGCTTAAATATTAAGAAAGAAACCTACAAATTGCAAGCATTTGCGGATGACCTCGTATTTATCTTAGAGGAACCGCTACATTTGGGTACAAGACTGGTGGAAATATTAGAAGAATAGGGAGAGGTAAAGGGACTGAAAATCAATAAAGATAAAATGAAAATGATAGTTAAAAATATAACTAATACACAGAAAATTGACCTGATGGAAAAAGTAAACATCCAAATAGTGAAGAAAGTTAAATACTTGGGAGCACCGCTAACAGCAAGATTTATTACAATTAAAGAAGATAACTATGTTAACTTAAACAATCAGATAAAGAAAGATTTAGAAAGATGGAAAAATTTGCAACTCTCTTTTATAGGGAGAATTGCAGCTGTAAAGATGAACATTTTACCTAAATTACTCTTTTTATTTCAGAATGTCCCCATAATATTAGAGAAACAAATATTTTGTAAATTTGAATAAAATAATATTGAAATTTATTTGGCAGGGGAAGAAACCTAGAATTAAATTAAAACTATTACAAGAAGCTAAAAAGAGGGGGGATTCAGACTATCTGACTGGGAGCTGTACTACCAAGCTGCAATACTCACCTGGGCGCGGGATTGGATAAATTTAAAAAATAGAAGGCTATTAACTGTAGAGGGTCATGATTTACAATCTGGATGGCATGCATTTTTGTGGGATGAGAGATATAATGTTCATCAATACTTCCAGAGACACTATATTAGAGCAACATTATTCAATGTGTGGATTAAAATTAAACAACAGAACTATACAAAAACATTGGCATGGCTGTCAACATTGGAAGCGCTAGTGCATCCAAACTTTATGAACTTGGGAAAAATAGTCACCTACAGAGATATTTTAAATGAACAAGGGGAACTTAAATCTAGACAGGAATTAAAAGAAAACGGGGTACAATTGGGATGGTGGGCATACCTGCAAGTGCAATCACGTTATAAGAAAGACAAAAAGGAATGGGGTATAGGGAGAAATCTGATAACACTAGATAAAATATTATTAGAAACGGAGGAGAAAGCAATCAAAAGAACATATAAATATTTATTGGAATGTAAAATGGAAGAGGAGCAGGTTAAAGAAGTGATGATAACATGGGCCCAAAATTTCGTATATAATATTGACCTAGACAAATGGCAAATGTTATGAGACAGAAATAGAAAACTAACCTTGGCCACCTCATACAAAGAGAATCTGTACAAAATGTTTTACAGGTGACATTTCTCCCCAACAAGATTGGCAAAGATGAGAAAAGATACATCGCCACAATGTCGGAAGTGCAAGAAAATGTTAAGTACTTATTATCACATGTGGTGGACCTGTTCCAAAGCCAAATAATTGTGGCGGCTAATAAAGACCTGGCTGAAGGTAATGTTGGAATTGAAAATATATTCCAGACCAGAATTGTTTTTATTGGGAATGATAGATGGGAAGTTCAACAAAGGAGAGACATATCTAATGTTGCATATTATAACAGCAGCTACGTTGGTGTAGGCCCAGAACTGGAAAAACGGAAATTCCCTGGTGGAGAGTGAACTAATTAAAATGTTTTGATATGTGCAGAGATGGATAGATTATCCTTAGAAATTAAGGACAAGGATGAAAGAGAGTATTATGAAGTTTGGGACAAGATGTATTATTGGTTAGACTCAAGGAGAAAAAGTCAGAACAAAGAAAGCTCATCTAGAAGAGAGAAAGTGTACATTTTCAACCTCAAAGTGAGCGTAAGATAGAGATCAGAAAGAATATGAAATAAGAATGGAAATGGAAGTTATGTTATAAATAGATGTAAATATGTATGTAAATATATAAATATGTAAATAGTATAAAATGCAATATGTAAATGGTATAAAAGATCAATGACTAAGATGGTATATGGTATATGGTATAGTATGTATGGCAAAATAACAGCCAGAAAAGTCACACTGTGTTCAATCTGTTTTTAAATGTTTACTTAATAAAAACTATTTTTTAAAAAAGAAATCTTTTAGCTTGTTAGCATGAGAAAATGTTTAACTATAAAATGGAAAAATTTTATCTGTTTGTCTTTGTCTCTTTTCTCCTATGCCTTGCTGTGTCAGGAGGAAGAGGAGAAGAACAGGACACTCGGCTTCTCTTTGATCTAAGAATAAAGCTGTTTCTTTTGCAGTAGCCTCATGTTCAGAGTCTCAGTGGAATTTTTTATGATTCTGAGCTAAAAACCCTTACAAAGTAAATGATTGCTAGTAGCTTTTGGGTGATGAAATTATCACATGCTTATCATTTTGCTATGGCTGTGGTTGATACACATACCCTCTGTTCTGGATCATGTAACTCTGACTAGAGCATGTAGATCTGTATGTTAGAATGTTTGGCATTTATTGGATTAAGTGCTGTCTCCTTAACAGATGGCTTATGGTTAATGTAGTTTAGCTAGTCAGCAATCCCATGTTAACAGATCTGTATGAGGAGTCACTAAGCTCTTTAGAGGATATCCTGGCCATGTGCCAGTTTGGAATGCCTTTGTCTGAGATAAGCACGGGACCACCGAAGGACTCAGATGGTCTCATTCCACAATAGAAGTTGGTCTGAAGAAAGTATTAATTTCTTACCTATAAGGATGAATAGATGTATATTATCCAGAAGCAACAACCATAACTGCAAGTATTTCTGAATAAAATATCTGTTTTGTAATCATTCTTATTGAATTTATCTGTATGATCTGGATTTCCAAAGCAACTTAACTCTGGATCAGAACAGTAATAAATTATCCTTTTCTCTATATTAGCTTTAAAGAAAGTAAAGTGAATTAATAAGGCTAATCTTCGTCTAATTCAGTGGTTCTCAACCTGTGGGTCAGGACCCCATTTGGGGTCGAACGACCATTTCATGGGGGTCGCCAAACAACGCAGTCTGCCATTTTTTTCCTTAGCTGTGCTACTCCCTTTTATTCTATTGGCTTTTGAAAGCCAATAGAATAGACTCTCTTGAATAGAGTCTAATTCTATTGCCTTTCAAAAGCCAATAGGAATTGTCCAGGCTGTCTCTGCCCTGCTGAGCCCGCCAAAAGTCCCATTCTGCAAACGGTGCTGCACCAGTTGAGTAGTCCTCGACTTACGATTGGTTGAGTAGTCCTCAACTTATGATCGGTTGGGGGGTCACGGCATTAAAAAGGTTGAGAACACTGGTCTAATTGCAAGAAGTCTCCATCTGTCTGCATTGCTAAAGTTTCATCTGCCTGCTATCTTCGCTATAAGTAAAGTTATAAAGAGACTGCTTTGAAGAGAAAACCCTTGTCATTAGCACATGAATTTCTACTTGCAGCTAAAAGTAAAAGACTGCAAATAGACTTGTTCTAAAATGCTTTTGAATTTGCTTGCTAGCCAATGTTGCATGCAAAGACTGCCTTTATAAATCAGAGAAACATTGGGTGCAGCCTGCCTCCCCCAAAAACGTTCCTGCCTATTGCATTTCATTGTAAGAAATTCTTGCATGTAAAGACTGTGTTTCTAAAGAATCAGAGGAGCGTTGGGCAGCTACCCCCTTTTTTGCCTGCAATTCTAACAGCTTGAAGCAAAACAGAAGGAGGGGAAGAGGCCACAGGGGTGGAGCGCATGTTGAAGAAGATTAGCTTTAATGAGAGAATTGTTTCAAATGAAAGTGTGTGAGGCCAAGCCCGTTTGCTTGGAATGCAAAGAGAAAGAGACTAGTTAATGATAAGCAGCCTAGAAGGGTTGCCACAAAAGGAATTTATTTCTCTTCTTACCAACCACCCCCGTTTCTGGTCCCAAATGCCAGAACAATAAAACCAGTTGTTGTCATAGTAACCAGCATTTGGAGGGAGTGAATTGACTCACTCGAAGGAAGAGCCCCCTCCCATTGGAATTCCAGCAATGTCAATGGAAAGAAAAGGTTTTCAGAGGCTCCACTAGCACATGCAGTAGCACCCCCTGGTGGCTAATCTGCACACAACACTTATTCAGCAATTTTATCCCTGCTGAAAGCACCCCTCCCACTTTGGTAACCGCACCAACCCAAGTTAAGAGCACCCCCTAGAGGGGAAAGAAGGTACTTCACTGAAATTTTCTAACTATGCAGAGTGAATCTCTGATAGTTATAGAACAAGTTACCCAAATTCATCCAAAGCTACCAACACCCCCTACAGGGCACAGACTGAACTTCTCCCAAAGTAATCACTCACACAAGCTGTCACCTCTAGTGGTGACTATGCTGAGGGCAAATTAAGGAGAAGAAAAGGCGCAATTAACCTTGCTTATTATCACAAAGCTGATAGCTGAGAGGATATTATGAGAGCAAGTAGAGTTCAGTAATTTCTCAAGAACGGCTTGCAATTTAACGACCACGGTAGGATTTAAGGGAGCTAGTAGAGCTCAGTAATTTCCCAAGTGGCCACTAAGGGCAACATGGTAGTAAAGAAAGAATTTTGGCTGTTCTCTCTCCAAATACCCCTAGTGGTTAAAGAGGAACTACACACGAGCCTTTAATCACGCACAGAGAAAGCCATCTAGTGGACAAAGGATGAACTTTGCTGAAGTACCCAAGCAGACAGGAGAGTGCACCCAGTGGGGCCTCCACCCACAGACAGCACCCCAGTAGCTGATCTACAGGTAGCGCCCCCTAGTGGTCAAAGAGCAAACTTCATCAGATTCGCTTCAAAATAGCTAGGAAGTTTATTGAACCTGTCCTAGCCATGGCAGAGTGTCCCATTGATTTAGAAGAAGGGGTTCAACCAACCAGCCTAGATGAGACACCCCAACCAATCAGCCAAGGAGAAATGCTGCAAACAGCTAACCTTGACCTGTACACAGAGGCTGATGCTCAAGCCTCAGTGAGACCAAAGATGTTTCAGGTTCCCTATGACCTGAAGCAACAAAGAAAGCATGCACTCACATCTGATGGAAAGATGGGAGTCGAGCTACAAGCGGCATGTAAGACACTGGGAGAAATTACACAAACTCTACCAAGGGCCTAAGGAGGAGCTCTCCCCCGAAAGTGTGCGCTTATTGGAAGAAGATAAGGGAGATGCTCTTGCGCAATGGATGGACTCTGAACGGTACCTCAAAGAGATTCGGGCACAATTAGGAGACCCAATAGTCAACAGCAAGATGCAAAGCTTCAAGCTAAAAAACAAGGAGTGCAATAAGTTTCTAGAGAGCTCACAACACCTCCCGGAGCCCGAGCCTCACCCGAGAGACAAACCAGTCGAGAGGGCCGAGTCTGAAGTTTCCTGTCATTCGCAGGCACCATCCCAGCGATCACATGTGATTCCATCCCATGCCTCTGGAAAAGCCTCATCCTTTCACCATTTGTCCAAGGTGAATTCCAGCGTGTCACAACAATCTCATGTTACAGGCGCCTCCCGCCATTTAAAAGCATCTTCTAGTCAGAGCCAAGCATCCCGAGCCTCAAGGGCAGAGGGCATTGCTGCCTGACTCGTACAAGCGTGATTCGACACTGCAACGGCTGATGTCGCTGCACAAGCAACAGTAGAAAAGAAGCAACAAAGAGAAGAATTGGCCAAAGTGGAGACTGCAGCAGCTCTATGTGCGGCAGAGGCACAGCACCAGCAAAGGGAAGACATGGTCAAAGCTCAGGCCAACTTTGAGATTTCCTAGTGCCGACAGAAAGCAAAAGAGGCAGCCGCAAGAGCAGTGGCCCTGCAGAGTGAGCTGGAAGATGCTACATCTACACACGGGTTGGAAAGGCTAGGAAGGGAAAGCCCTCATAGCCGTGTGCAGGCCTACGTGGACAACCAAAACATATTTCAACATTAGGAGGTCAGAGTGCCACAGCTATCCACAAACCCCCTAAGACCGAGTAGATGAAGAGAAGAATCTCAACGGCCAGATGTGCCGATCAGCCAGAGAGTTGATGTCGCTGCCTCATTGAACCCAATGATGGCAACAGTGCCGACGGCCCCACAGTACAACCAGCTGCTGCTTGGGGATGAGATTGCAAGAACTCGAGCCAGATTAGTGTCCCTGCTGCACCAACAGGGGGCAGAGTCCCAAGAAACCACCACCAGACCTTACCACAGAGGAGAATCTCGACCACCAGCTGTGCCAGCCTACCAGGGAGCCAGCTACACATCACCCGGAAGACGAGAAACCCTCCAACAAGTAAGCATGTAAGAAGTCAAGTCCCCTCAGTTCAACGCCAGAGCAGAGGAATTCAGACCAAGCCAACACGGTCCCTCGCACGTGACATGGCAAGGTACCCACAGCAGACAACACACTGAAGAAGGTTACCAGCCAGACATGGCACATGCCCCCGCTCCCAGAAGCGATGCACCACCTCCACCAGACTACAGCCCATACGTGGGAACGATGTATCCTTCAACATTCGGTGGAAGAAAGTCAGGCATGGCATCCAGAGGCATGCAAAAATTCTCCAACAAACCAGGGAAGGACTATTTGTTGTGGAAGGAAATTTTCAAGCAAGCCCTCCCCGGAGAGAGGTTACACCCTGGGGAAGAGCTTGGACTTATGACGGCATGGCTAAGTCCAGAATCCTCAAAGGCAGTGGATGCGATCTTTGCATCACGTTTAAGTGACCTACCCGCCGCCCTTCAACGAGACTTAGAAATGCTCGACAAGCACTATGGGGCACCTTCTTTGACACAGTCCTCATTCCTACGGGAGCTGTACAATTTCCTAACATCAATATCAACGATCCTAGTCAGATTTGGAGATTCTCCAGCTTACTAGACCAGCTCCGGGCAGCACAAGAAAGTCGCACTATGCCTGGACTTGCTTGCCTCAGCAGTTTGACACACAGAACATTATCACTCAAAAACTACCAAGACAGTTGAAAGATAAATGGTTCAACATGACCCAGTCCCACAGGAAACGGTACCCCAGCAACCTTCCACCTTTTGCTGATCTTGCAGATTTTGTTTCTGATCAATCAGATATGTACAATGACCCCAATTATTTTGATGTCCATGAAACACGTTTCATGATGCCAAAATGGACCAATCACAACTTTGTCACTAACAGAAGTTCCTTCCAAGCCAAAAAGGACAGAACCCCTATTTCAGTGTACAAAACAGAGATCACGGCCCAGCCAAAGAAGACTTCAGATGAACAAATACTGAGGAGTATTCACTCGAAACCTCACCCACCAAGAAAAGGCCTGACTTGTCCAATTCATAAATC